CGGGGGGCGGGGGGAGGGGACGCAGAGCCGCGCAGAGCAGCGCAGAGTCGCGCAGCGCTCCGGCGAGGTGAAGGTCCGCATGTTTGTGTCCATGCACCGGCCCCGCCCCGCGCCGGCCTTGCCCGCCGACGCGGCCGGCTCCACCCAACCTGTCATCGCGCCCGCCCGATCAGTCCACTTTTTATTCTCCTTCTTTTCTTTTTAATATACAAACATCTTTGAGATAAATTCAATGACGTTTCTCGTCCTGGCGTGCCGCTGCAGCAAATTAAATCTTTGCCATACAAAGATCAAACATTCTTAGTAACGTTGCAACAAGCATTTTACATTGCAGTGCATGACACAACACTACGTCAATTTTAGCGAGTTTGGTGGGTTTTGGAATTTTTGCTTTTGGAGTGACTTTTGTATACTCGTGTGTCGTGTCGACAGCGCTCAGTGCCCCCGCGGAGAAGGCGGACCCGGAGTCGCCGCTGCCCAACTACACGCTCGTCTCGGGGCTGCCGACCTACGACGAGGCGCTGGACCAGCTGCAGCAGCGCCGCGAGCTGCGCCGCTCCTCCTCGGCGCAGAGGGCCATCGAGCTGGCCGTGGCGGCGGCGCGGGCCGCGGGCAACCTCATGGCGGTCCGGAGGCTGCAGAACATCCGGCACATGTCGGTGGGCGACCTCATCCAGTACACGTTCCGCTCCAACTCGTTCGACAAGAGGTGACCAAAAGCACCTTAAGGCGGTGGAAGAAATAATGATTACCCGTGAGTTTGAAATTGACATTTCAAAAAAACTCTTTTGAAATTTTCAAACCACCCTTGGAAACACAAGTATTTATAGACTTGCTACACTGAAAAAGAAATACTAGTTGCAGTTACTAGGATCTTCGTGGGCGGTACTAGACAGTCTAGTACCTTTTATTACTTTTGCTACTTTTTATTATTATTATTATGGAGTGTGATTGTGATTTTTTTAATGTACGAAACAAAAAGCACCCCTATAATTTATATCGTGTTGTCGTGGTTTGTCGTATTTATTCTGAAAACAGTACAACTTTTAGGCATGAGAATTAAATGTATCTCTTCAAAACAACTGTGTGGCTGGTTATGGTTTTACCCGCACCCCCGGGCTGTATTGTCATCACACGCACTCGGTCACTAATATTAGTACTGCACTTCGTGCGTCACGGTGCGTCACATGTTGTGCTTACATGACGAGGCTGCCGGAGATGAAGAAGAAGAGGCCGAGAGAGAAAGAAAACAAGACGATTCCGTACCGTGCATGCGCGAGAAATAAATGACGTCGTGATTGTGCGGCTGTGTTGCTGTATGCGTTCGATTGCCTGCGTGCTGCCGGTGTCGATGCACCGCGCGCGTCGCGTACTCGCTCGGCTCGGCTCGCGCGGGGCAGGCGAGGGTCGGCGAAGGTGCGCCGTAACTTCGCCTTGGCTCCTTCCGTCATTCCCTCCACACGCCTTGGCGCGCGTTCAGAGCTTCCGGCGGAGGCCGCCCGCCGGTGTCCACAGCGTAGTCATATTTATTGTTATTTTGAACAAACGTAAAAAGACTTTTTTTAATTTTCTGACAAAAACAACTAACAAATTTTGATGTACAAAAAAATGCTGTACAAAAAAGTTTTTAGTTTTACTTGTAAAATTTGTTTAGGTGCAAAAACTTGTCAAAACCTATATGTCTTTTCATTGGGAGCCCGTGTTGATGCGTCAACTATACAGACCTCATTTAAAAATATTGACGTTTACTTAGTCCACTTAGTCGCATGACGAAAACTGAAAAGGAATCTAACCGTTATGGACGGGCGGGTCAGTCGTACTGTGTAAAAGCAAATAGTACCTCAATTACAAAGTACATTCAACATTCAAGGGTCGGCCCAAGGCCTTCCCTCCCCCCCCCCCTCCCCCTTTTGCCTCCCTCCTTGCAGCCAGCGTTACTTGTAAGTTTCTCATACCGAAGCGTCGGGCTCAGCAGAGCAGTGGGGAGAGAACACCACCACCACCATCCCCTCCTCCGCAATCTCCTGAAAATTTTATCAACATTTACCTTCAATTTTAACTCGATTCTACTGCTTTACTTGATAAAGTGGTGTTCGTTCTCTGAGAGCTTCCTAGAGTGCGCGCCTCTATTTCAGTAGAAAATGGGAAAATGTGTCTTTTATAAGACATGGAAGATTTGTTTTGTACTCTTTTGACAGGTAGCGTCGTCTGCGTCGTCTGCATTTGTAGGAAAATATCATGATGATTTCGGGAGACGACACGGTAAGAAAATTGCTAAAAATACCTAAATATCAGACCTGACAGTTCTTTGAAAAGCGAATGCCTTTCTAGCGGGTTACTGATAACAATCCTCTTCTACAGTTCTAACCTTGTTTTTCAATGACACTTTTTTGTTTACTTTTCCTGTTTACATTTTTTTCTTTTTTATCATACTCTCACAGTGTAGTTCTCTTATATTCTAAATCTATCTGTTCGCTGCTCGGTTTGCTTATAATCTGTATCTGTATGTTTTTTTTATATTTTAGTGTGAAGATGAATGGGGTGATCTACGAGCTCGTTTTGTTAAAGAAGGACTTGAATATTCATCACTGACTGTGGAGCAATGTCTCTTACATGTTTGGCGTTGGTTGGTTGATGCTGAAAGTAACTTACACAGCTCTAGACGCATGTTAGACAAACTGAGGGAACAGCAAAATGAGGAATTGGAGGTATGTGGTGCCAATGTATGCCCTTCGACCATTCCTGGCCATAAAATTGTTTCCTCGTACAAAGTGATATAAAGGGAATACTTAACTCAACTCAGAAACTTTTTTTTTAGGAAATGGAATCCTACATTGGACATATTCGAGAGCTAGCTGAAAAACGAACGGATCACCTGGAATCTGAAACAATTACCTTGCGCAACAAACTTCATTTAACTCAACAGCAAACAGCTACTCTTAACAACCTTCTACAAAGAAGTGGTCTAGAAGGAATTGACGATCTTGGAGAAGACAATATTGGGGAACAGGTTAATAACTTGGCTTTAACGTGAAGTATTTGAGTTTTCAAATAATCCACATCAACAACAAAATTTTATGTTGGTATCAGGTTGCTTTCTTAGTGGCTGATCATTTAAAACTCATGGAAGAGGTTGAGATCTTAAAGAAACTGAAATTTTCCAATGGTATGGGGAAAGAAAGTGAACTCCTAACTGAAATGGTTAAAGTAAGTTTCCTAGTTATGTTACCACGACCATCACACTGAAGTACCTTCCTACTTATGCTGATAACTTTTGAACCCTTACCCCTTAGGTAACTTCTGAAAAAGAAGTATTGCGCAGGGAAGTAAGTGATATTACTGAAAGATTAACTCTTCTTGAGAAGGCATCACGTCAACTCGAACTGGATAATGAGCGTTTGGCATTCAAGGTAAATTACTTTGTGCATAAATAGTTTGTAATATTAATACAATTTAACCACTAAATCAACAACTCAACATGTTGTGTAAGTTTTTGTAACTTTTGAAACTCTGGTGCAAGCTTTCTGAAGCTCTTGCTGAGCTGGAGGAACGAGAAGCGCAATTGAAGCAGCTAGGTCAGTTAATTATTGCATTTTTTTTGCCATAGAAAGTTGTCAGTAAGTTTTAGTAATGGCACTGTAAAGTAGTGTGTTTCGTGTGTTGAATTTTTTCCACCACTAATTTTAAGAAGGGTGAAGTCTTTAAAGAAAAAAATTTGGGGAAGGAGTAGAATCTGATCCCATTGTTGTTGTTTTTTATTTAAAGGTGGAAATGAGCAAGGAGCTGAAAGTCTGATCTGGATTTCACCTCAGAGAAGTCATCAATGTGCCCGAAGTCAATCCATGTACACTGGTCTCTACCACAGAGAGCCATCACTCAACAGCCTTCGTACTGTCAATTGGTAAATCTTGGACTGATGTGTATCTTTAATGAATAAGATCACTGTCAGTGAATCTAAAATTGTTCAATATACTTTTCCCAGTGAGGTGTCAGAAGGACAGGAGAGTTTACCTCGCAATCCATCAGAGGCCAGTCTTCTAGAAGAACATGATCAAGAACCAACTCCAAGATTGTCAAGGGCAGATACTCGCAGTTTTGGGTATGAAATCTGGCAGTTACTTTCCAATGCATTTCTACTTTTCTATCAATCATGTACATAATATTGATTTGTTTTAGAGCTGACTCTACTCCCCCTAGTCTACTACTCAGTGAACCAAATACCAGTTGTGGTTCCCTGAGGAGATTATCTAGTCTGGTTGATTCACAACATGGTGCAGGTGCAAGTGCTGGACCTCATAGTGATCTCAGCCACACCAATGAAGTGAAAAATTTGCAGGTGTGTAGAGGAAAGAGGATTAAGCAGGGTTTAATTGTATTATCATTGTATCAATGTTTCTTCCTTTTTTAGGTGGAGTTTAACACACTTAAGGAACAACATTTGGCCCTTACTGAGAAATACAATACATTAGTATTTCGACATATTCGTCAAAAAGCCAAGAGGAAATCACAACTTGATGAGCTGAGGTATTAATGAATGCATCAAAAAAAGGTCTGGTAGCTGTTTGAATTAACTCACTATTAAAGTACCGAAATATCCCACCACAGAAGGCGCATGGATGCATCTATTAGTTCCTCAAATTGTCGGATTGAATCTCTAGAATCCCAGTTAGCACTTCAAAAGAAAGCTTTGCTTGGAGAGGAAGTGTTTCGAAAACGAGTAGAAGCTGATTATCGACGTTTACAAGAGGAAAAGCGTACTCTCGTCGTCAGGTACTATTCTCAAACAATCTTTGCATCAAAAAAATCTAATGAAAACTCTTTATTTATTTACACCCTTAATTTTTTGCAGCGTTCTTAATGCTGAAAGTACTCTCAGAGCCAAAGAACGTGACATTTTAGCCTTGAAGAAAAAGGAAGAGTTCCTGGAGAACACTACAGCTGATTTGCTAGCACGAGTCCTTACTCTCAAATACACAAGAAGTTCACCAGAAAAATTATCTGGAAAAAATTTAGGTGTGATTCAGTCTTCTAAAACGGTACCAAACTTTTCAGCAGCTACAGCAGCAGCTAATCAAGAGGCTGCATCAACCTCTGATAGAAAAATTGGCCCAATTACTATTACAAAAAGGCACAGTGTAACAGATTTAGGAACTGTTTGATATAACTTAATAACTGTCTAGTTTTGCTACAATTATTTATTTTTCCAACTCATTGACGGAAACATGGTATTTTTGTGAATTATATCAGCACAGCTTGTTAACCTAAGGATAGAGGGGCACTGCTAAATGTCATCAGAGTATGATTTGATTAGAGTGCCATAATTCAAAAATTCATATTATTGTACGGAGAGCCATCATATTTTTCTAGTGATGTAATGAGATTAA